GTTGTTGACCTACATTCGTTGGACAAATGCCGGCCTTTACCGCATCTCCTACATATACCTGAAGGCCGAGGTCTCCTATTTTTGTCATTCCCAGAAGAGATATTATTCCTAGAAATTCTTTGCCTGCAATCCCTTTGCAAATGTCCTAATTTACCACAATTAAAACACCTGGCAGTTTGATATCTCCTCATTGCTTTGGAAATCGCTTCCCCTACCCAAGATTCATCGTTATAACTATAAACGTCTCAACATTTATCGTATGCTGAATCCATTTGTCCATAGGTGCTGATCCAGACTTTAAAGGCCCAATTATCTTTTTGCATTCTATGTTTGCATTCTCAAAAGCTAGAGATTCAAGAAGTATTCGTCTAGCTTCTGGGTCTGTTACCCCTATGTCCAGAGCCTTAATTAATCTTTGCAAAAAGTCAATAAAGGGTTCTCTCTGTCCCTGCCTAATTCTGGTATATGATTCAACCCTTTTCGCTGGATCTTGTATCCTATTCCAAGTATTTAAAGCTGCTTGGTGACATAGACACAGTACTTCATCATCATAAAGAACTTGGACCTGTGGATCAGCATATTCTCCTGTACCAAGAATTTGATCTTGGGAAACCTCAACACCTTTTGCTCTTCCTTGCTGTTCCATATGTTTGGATTCTTCTCTGAAATAAATTCCAAACATCAAGGAAGGTCCATTATCTAAAACTGCAGACACTAACTGATAGAAATCATCGGGGGTAGCTCTAGCATTAGAAGCCCAAGTCCTTATCATTTCCTTTACATATGCATTGTGCAAGCCAAAATTAACAACAGCTTGCTTAATTTCTTTTAGATCATTCATTGCTATTGGCATCCATCTAGCTTCTCTGACTCCCTTTGAGCCTTTAGAAGTTGATGCTTTGTCAGAATTAAGTATGGGGGGGGGGCTGGAGAGATGGCTCAGCGGTTAAGAGCATTGCCTGCTCTTCCAAAGGTCCTGAGTTCAAATCCCAGCAACCACATGGTGGCTCACAACCATCTGAAATGAGGTCTGGTGCCCTCTTCTGGCCTTCAGGCATACACGCAGAAAGAATACTGTATACATAATAAATAAATAAATAAATAAATAAATATTTAAAAGAAATAAGTAAAGCCTTTTACTATATATTTAAAAAAAAAGAATTAAGTATAGGGTATGTTGCTCGAACCCTGGGTCAGCCAGTTCTAATAGCTGGTGGAGGCATTGTATCCTGTCCTTGTGCCTCCTTACTCTGTTCACCAGCTGCAATAATTTCTCCAACCTTTTCAAATCTTTTTTTCATTGTCTCTCTTAAACCCTGAATCTCCTGATCTGTATATATTTCCAGTGATTTCACTGAGGCATCAATTTTTTGGTCCCCATTCTGCACCTGTGATTCCAAAGCTTTAATTTTTTCCTTCAAAGATAACATGTCCTCCTTAAACTTTTCTTGTATATCATGTAGATTCCCATCTTGGAAGTACATTCTGTCTGTTACCTTATCAAAACTTTGTGATAAAGTCTGAACGTTAAATTCAACAGCCTGAACCCTTTCAGGTAACTTTCTAATACCCTTGGATATGGAGTCAATTTTGTCTGTCATAGTATCCACTTGTTCAGATAACCTCTGATTTTCAATAATTTTAATCCTGTCAATTAGTTGTTCATTATTAGTTCATAAAGATTCTATCGTTCTTAGGAGTGCCATATTCTTCCTTAATGATAGAATATGGAAAAGAAAATTAAACCTAGTAACAAGCAAATCAAGGAATCCCCATAATCATATAAACCTTGTATGACGTAATCCATTGTATTAGTAAATATAAATTTACTAATCCATTGTATTAGTTTTACAAAGCAGTAAAATTTGCATTAGAAACGAAAACTGCCATATTACCTATTATCCAGCAGGTGGCGCTGTTGCCTAGTCGCGATGAAAACGGGGTCCTGTTTCAGTGCCTTAGTAGATGTTAAAAACTGGAAAATGTAAGTTTCTCAACAAAGTAAATGTAATTAAGTCAATTCCAGAGACGGAACCAGAAACCCAGAATCCAGGGGTAGAGAAGAGCAACCTGGAAGCCGCTTATGCCTCCACGTGACAGAGTCACCCTGAGGGGTTGCAGCTTTCAGCAACCGCGTGCTCTGGTTCGCGCCACTTAAGAGCTGTGCTTGCAAGGGAGATTTAAAAACGAATCAGAAAAGAGCAAACCATGCGGGCAGAGACTACGCGGGCCTGTGGAGTTTAAATCCACGTGGGGAGGCCAAGGCCGCAGCTGCAAGGCACAGGCAGTGGCTGAGGAAGGGAGGGCTCCTGCCAAGCCGAACTCGCAGCCGACAGCCGAGCGGGGAAAGGAGAGGTTCTAAAACCAAACTTTGGGCGCCAAAATGAAGGCGTAAGTCACAAACAACACCACACCAGTTTGGAATTATGATTAATAGGGTGGTATTTATTTAAAGGGGAAAAAACTTACAGATCACTGTCCCAGGCAACAGCCCTCTAAGCAACCAGGCAACCAGGAAGGGAGTCTAGTTGCCGGGGAGAAGGAAGTGAAGAGAGAGAGGAGAGGGAAGTGGCCGCTTTTTTAAAGGGAGAGAGACCACGCACCAATGGGCTGGTATCTCAGCAGCTATAGGCTGGAGGAGTGGGAGGACCTCCCGCAACATACTGCAAGATCTCACACTGAAGGAATGAGCCAACCCCCCCTCCCCCCCAAAAAAACCCAAGGATGTAATAATAGAGAATAGAGCAGAGATTGGCAGTTAGAAAAACAGTGCTTACAGGGTTGAAAATATGAAATAGTGGATACCTATCATGAATAAATGTAGCTAGCTAATGTACAACAGGAGGACTGTAGTTAACAGGACTGTGTTGGTGGTCTGTTAAAATCACTTAGGATTCCTGTTGAATGAATATGCTCCAGCTGCTTCTGCTCCACGCATAGACACCAAGGAAACCCTGTGAGACAATGAGCGTGTGAATTTGCCATAGAAACGCTTTCCTGTCTATGAAACCCATCGTATACTAGAAGAAGACAATGAAGAGAAGGAAGAAGAAATGGGGGAGGGAGCTTCCCAAATGCTGAGATTACATGACTGTGTCACCACAGCTCAGCAATGTTATGTTTTGAAAAGCATAAAAAACAAACCTTATCCTGAATAGTTCCGAAAGAACCACTTTTCTCTTTTACCAATCTAGATCTTAGAAAGAAGTAGAGAGAATACCAAAATCAGGATTTGAGAAGTTACTGTTTACAAAGGCGGGCTTTAGGAAAATCTGGGGTATGGAAGCAGCAGCAGCTGATACGGAGACAGACATCCTCATCAGACCTGAGTGAACAGTGAGGGGAAAATGAATATCCGCTTCACTCCTCCACGCCATTCAGTCAAGGACAAGTGGCCGGATCCATCAGGAGCCAGGAGCAAGAGAATTTACCAATACAGTGTGTAAGAGTCAGTCTCCGGAGAACAGAGCAGGCTGGCTTAGAATTGGTCAGGAGGAGGAAGTGTATTATGGGTAGTAAGTAACCCTTTCCTCTTTAGATCTTCTTGTTCTCAGAGTCTAAGATCAGTTGACTTTAAGCACTGTGTTATAGATACCGGACTAGACTATAAACCACAGTATTTGACCAAATGCTTTTTCTTTGTAATGCTCGTAATTGAGATATGCAATTTATTTTAAGTTAAACTATGGCTCAGTCTGTTTTGACTTATGTGTTTTTTTTTCTTTCTGCTGCTCCTGTTTTGAGTCTTGTATAGTCTCTGCTCACCCAAACTCATGCAGTTGAATATTACCTCAAACTCCTGATTCTTCTGCTTCTACCCCGCCAAGAGTGATTATAGGCATGCACCATGATGCCTGGGTAATTTATGTTTTCAGTGGTGATAAACACATTTTAGGCTAACCATATGGAATGTTTTAGATACTTAAGAACTCCAGTTCTGTGGATTATTGCGACTTTGAGGAAAACAGTGTGTTAGTGTGACTGTTAAAGACTGCCCTCTTTTGGCCTCCCTAGGAACTGCAAGCATGTAGCCCACATACATATATGCAGGCAAACAGAGTGCTGGGTGGTGGTGGCGCACACCTTTAATCCCAGCATGCAGATTTCTGTGAGTTTGAGGCCAGCCTGGTCTACAAGAGCTAGTTCTAGTACAGGCTCCAAAGCTGTAGAGCAACTCTGCCTCGAAAAAAAAAAAAACCAAACAAACCAAAAACCAACAAATCAAACAAATAAAAATAGTGCCTTCTCTTGATTACTCCTTCAGATGTTAAACACTTAGTGAAAAACTGCTGATTTTTAGAGAATCCCAAACTGCACACCGCAGAAGGAAAGGGAATGTGCGACCATTCAATGGAATGGAAATGTAGAACGAGGTGAGGAATTGATTATTTGGGAGCAGAGGAACAGTTGAGGTGATTTATAGCTAACAGCTTTAAAACCATCATAAAAAGAAACATTTCCGGAGTCCAATTCCAGAGGGCGAGCTAAAATCTAGTTGTGATTTTATTGAACCCCAGACAGGAGACTGGTGATCAATCAGTAAACGTGTGCTCGCTCAATGGTTACAGTCTTACTGGGAGAAGACAGAATTTTCAAAAGCTATTTAAAGGTGGGGACCAGAGTATATGCAACTGAAGACGGCTGCTAAGATCCTCGACACAAAGCTCCTCTCTCTACCCAGAGAGCATGGTACATAAACCCTTCAGCCTCAAACTCTCAAATCCAGAGATTTCTACTTTCAGAATGCTTGAGTTAATTAGAGCCCATAGTGCCCTGACGTTTGGAGCTTTTAGGCTGACTGTCTGCCCATTTCTTGATAGATTTTTACGGTCAAGGTTGGGCAGCTAGGAAAAAATATTTTAGAGGTTTTCTTGGAGGCTGAGGTTGGATAGCAAGTATTTGGGGGGTGGGGAACACAGTCTGTGACCAGAGACCGCGGAGGGCGGGGCCTACGGTCTGAGCACCACGTGACCGCTGCGCCTCTGGAGTCGCCAGCGCCTGCGCAGTGTGTCCCCGAAGAGGCGGCGGCGCTGGCGGTGGTGGCTTTGGGAGCTGCGCGCACTGAGGCGTTCGGAGGCCCATCTTTGGCGAGGTTGGCCCAGGCTTCGGCTTATGGCAGCGAGCGGCGTCCATCGTAAGGTAGCTGCGGCGGGGCGCCCCGAAGCTGGTGGCAGGGGAGGCGGCGGGCTGCGAAGGGCCGGCCTGCCTGCCCGGGCCGCCTCAGGCCGCACCGGGCCGCGGCCTCGCCTGCTCGTCCGGTTCGAGGCCTGCTGGCGTGCGCCTGGCGCCGGGCCGGCGGCGCCTTTCATTCCCGGTCCCACCTGTTGGGAGGAGCCGGGCCGGGGTCCGCGGCGGGTGAGCCTCCGGGCGCCCGGCTTTGCGAGCCCGCTTAGCGTTGGGCTCAAGCTCGTGCTGGCCTGGACCTGAGACCCCGCGTGGCTGGGGCGACGGGAAGCGGAGAGGTTCGGTCACTGCGAAACCGAATCCGTAGGCTGGCTTGGTTTTTTTTTTTTGGGGGGGGGGCGACGGACGGACGGACGGACAGACACGTGAAAGAGCCTGCTAGAACCGTTTTTAAACAATCTGCTTATATGGAATTTTACGTTTCGTGGTCAGGAGCTGACCTTACGCACTGACTTTACGTTCATAAATACTGCTCGAAGCTCCCAGTGCTGTGTAAGGTGTTGGTAGCGATGCAGAAATAATAAAAAATACGATGTAGCCATCTGCCGGTTCGAGTGTCCCCTTTCTGGTTTGATATTGATATGGCCGTCTGTTCACGAACTTACACTAGACAGCTGATGTACTCAGAAATTCCTGAAAATTTTCAGCTGCTGGAAAGGGTGACGCTAAGAATGCAAGGCTCGTATGAGAAAGTAAGCTAAGGGGCTTCCGTGCTTTGGGCTCCTTGGCAGTCTTTTAAAAATCATTTGAGAAAAATCAGCAACGACTGTAAAATCCCTCACACCTCTCATGTTTATAACCTCGTTCTAGAGTTAAAAAACTGGAACTCAGCACTGTTCCTCTGAGACGTGGCTGCTAGTGCCTTTACCTGCTGAGCCATTTTACAGGCCCCAGAAGATTTGAAAGACTCAACACTTTGTGCTGTTTGTATTTTATACTTGAGAAAAAAAAAAGATTTGTACATTAAGTTAATTTGATTTGTGTATTTTCAAGGAGGGGCAGAATCTTCTGTTATCTGTTAATTATTCTGTGTACGACTTGAGCTCTGAAGATTGTGCAGACATTGTAAATATATAAACAAAGTTCAGTTTCTGGGACGTAATTGTTTAGAAGGAGGAAACAAGGTCTGCCTGTGAACACCCTACTTAAGTCTCTAAAAACCTGTTGCCAAAACCACTTGTTATAATAACCCCTTTTCTCCCCCAGCCTAGGTGTTGGGATGACTCATCTGGGCTGAGACACGGGGTAATTTGTGGATTGTAAAGCTAGCTTGCTAGTTAACTAATGACTTCAGTTTATATATATTACTTAGGTGGTTTATGGTAACAATCAGTGATAGATAGTGTTTCATATGACTCCGTGGGCATAGGAGGCATGTAAAACATCGGGGAAAAAAAAGTGTTCGGTCAAATACACGTTGTTTAATGAGTTTTCATCATTTAAGTTATTTTCTAAAATTCCTTTTAACTTTTAAAAAAATAACATGCTGAAATTACCTGTGTTTTCGGGTAATACGTGGTTAGTTTTTTTACTTTGCATATTTGGGCCTATCATTCCTATCATTTTATTTAAAAATGTCATAGCATCGAAAGTCTGCTTTGTAAGCCATTAGTGTAGTGCATTGTGGGGATGAAGAGTTTTGTTAGTCTGAGGAATGGCATATTGCCAAGTTAGATATGTCATCTGTTTCTAGGTTTCAAGGGTTTCTAGGGATGCAACATTGAGCAAAACAAAGTTTCTTTCTCCCTAAACTTAATAGTCTGTAAGATTTGTTCATCTGTATCAATAGTTTAGCAGTATTTTAACTTTTTTTTTTAACTGCACCCAAAATGAACGAGTTAAATTGTGTGTATTTCAGCATGTGCTGTTAGTGTATGTATATACTCTTCTTGTTCTGACTTTTTCCTCTGTGTATGTCTGTGTGGTGGTATGTGCATGTAGTATGTGCAGGTGGGTATGGAGGCCAGAAGTGTGACCTGGAGATGAGTTGAAGGCACCATGAAAACAGTAGAAACTAAGCCACCTCTGTAGCCCAAATACTAGGTCTTCTATATAGCTCCAGCTGTCTGTATGAAGCCCAAACTAGTCTCTGAGTACTGAGGTTACCCTTGATTCTGTTTCCCAGTTCGGGCCTTTCCTGTGGAGCCTGCTGTAGAACACTTTCTTCCTACATCTGTTTCCCAGATGCTGAGGTTAGAGGCTTGTGATACCATACCTGCCTGACTTGGATGTTTTTGGTTTGGTTTGGTTGCTTCCTTGTTTTTTTTCTGTTTAAAGAAATCAGAAGCTAGCTTGAAGTGGTATTTAGTTTGAAAAAAAAAAAACCCACTGAGGTATAGGAGAGAGAGTGATTATTACAATAGCAATGTGAATGAAGAGTGCTGTTTCAGTAAGGGAGCCAAGTTTGGTTCCTAGCACCCATGTTGGATGACTCGCTGCTGACTGAAGGTTCAGGATATTTAGTGTCCTCTTGGATCTCAGGCACCAGTGCACTATGGTGCCTGTACATATACTCAGACAGACACATGTTTGTGTAAAAATATGGGCAAGTATTGACTGGAACTTCTGGATCAAAGGTAAAACAAAGATTAGGGATTATGCTGATTTCTTCTTCAACAGTTGTGTGATATCTGGTGGACACGAGTTACCTATTCACTACCCCTCTTCCATCGTCTTTACTAATAGAACACTCATTTTGTCCAGAGCAGCAATGTACCTAATTCCAGCTAAGGGGTTAGGAGACTGAATGGTGTAGGCTCTGGGAAAACTTCAGCTTTTCTCATTAAAAAAGTACAGTATTAACTACTGTACCTTTGCTGTTCATTTCTTTCCTGGTTGAATTGAACATTTCTTTAAACAACTTCAGGCTGTGAAGTAGTCTCTAGGGATTAGCCAAGGATATTAGGTGCCAGCATTGACAATTCCAAGCTGCTAAAACAGTGGTTCTTCTCCGCCCTCCCAATTCTGCACCCGTTTAATACAGTTCTCATGTTGTGGTAACTCCCAACGATGGTGGCGCACGCCTTTAATCCCAGCACATGGGAGGCAGAGGCAGGCGGATCTCTGTGAGTTCAAGACCAGCCTGGTCTACAGAGCTAGTTCCAGGACAGGCTCCAAAGCCACAGAGAAACCCTGTCTCGAAAAACCAAAAAAAAAAAAATATATATATATATTAGTTTTGTTGCTACTTCATGGCTAATTTTGCAAGAAAAGAAAAAAAATGTGAATATATTTGTAATAGAAGACCTCTGTGAAAGGGTCATTCAACCCCAGAAGGGGGTCACAATTCACAGGTTGAGAACCACTGTGCTAACACAGTGCCTGCTACCTATTGCATAATGAAGTACCATGTGAACAAACAAATTTCTTCTAGATATGTGCAGGGTATGGTCTTTAGGACCATATGTGTCTGGGTATAGCTGTGAATGCTGTCTAACATAAAATAGTAGACTTAAAATATTGTGTGATTTAATTTTGAGGGGGGCAGTGATTAACTCAGTTGCAGAGTTCTCCAGCATTATCTTTGTAGATGATAACTTTGTGTTACGATTTCAAAAGGTTGGGCACACTTGAACTATTGGCCAGGTATATCTGGCCATTTGGCCCTTGTTTGCAGTCTCAGGTACTTGGGAGACTGTGGCAGGAGGATTGATAGTTACCATTATTTATAGAGAGATAATAAAATGTACTCATTTTCCTACGTATGTTTTTAGTAGGCAGACAGGGCTTTAAAAAGAGCTGGTAAGATGGGTCAGTGTTTGAGAATACTTGCTGCCCTCACAGAAGATCCAGATTCAGTTCCTGTCCCCCCATGTGGTGGCTCATAACCATTTATAATTATAGTTCCAGGGAACCCAGCATTGTCTACTAACCTTGGAGATTAGGCATTTACATGGCGCATATACATGCATGCACATACATGCATGCAGGTAGAACATTCGTACACATAAAATGAAAAACATACATAAATCTATGTTTTTGGTTGTGACAAAAAAGTTTACTAGCATTTGGAATCTGTTTCTCTTTGTGTGTATGTGTGTTTCTGCAGATCATTAACTGAAGACCAAATAAGTAGCTATGCAAAATTCTCACATGGATGAGTACAGAAACTCTGATAATGGCAGCGCAGGCAACAGTTCAGAGGTAGTAGTAGTAGAGCATCCAGATTTTAGTACTGAGATTATGAACGTTACGGAGATGGAACAATCACCTGATGGCTCTCCCAGCGTGAACGCATCTACAGAAGAAAATGAAATGGCAGCTGCTGTGGACCTTCCAGTGACAGAAACAGAAGGAAACTTCCCTCCAGAATTTGAAAAGTTTTGGAAAACAGTAGAAACTAATCCTCAGGATTTTACGGGCTGGGTATATTTGCTTCAGTACGTAGAACAGGAGGTTAGTAACTATTTAAATGGTGTATGGAGGGGGACAGAATAATCCAGTAGTGGCAATTCAAGCCTTTCTGTTTTGTAATTAAAGTTTAATCTCTTAAATAATCTTCATATTAAGTTCAGTAATGCTAGAAGCATATATTTTAGTTTTGAAAATTACATAGCATTATGCATTGTGGAAAGTATGTAATCACAATGCTGAATATTGTGTAATAATTGAGGCTTGTGTGTGGATATGTAAAATTAGTGAAATAGTTACCTTGGGGATGTGGGAGTACACTTAAGTAAGGTAGAGCACACGGGCCTAGTATCTGTGAGAGACTGGGTTTGATCTCCAGCTCTAAAAAAAAAAAAATAAGCTACCCTGCTATTTGACCAAGTTAATACTTATTCTTTCTTTGTTTAAAAACTTAAGATAGAAACTTATTCTTTCTTTGATAAAACACCTTAAGATAAGAACTTCTTTCTTTGATAAAACACCTTGTTTTATTTTCATCAGAATCACTTGATGGCTGCCAGGAAAGCATTTGACAAATTTTTCATACACTACCCGTATTGCTATGGTTACTGGAAAAAGTATGCAGACCTTGAAAAGCGACACGACAACATTAAACAATCAGATGAGGTGCGTACATCAGTGAATACAGTTTTCTCTGTTAGGTACTGTAAGCCAATTGATAACAAACAGACTCTTTTTTTCTGGCTGGCAGTACCTACCATTTATGATCAGACTTTTTTTATAGGGTATTTTATTTGCAATTGTCACTATTGTGGCATTTGTAGCTAATATTTTCTCTCTTTGTTGGCAGGTGCGTTAAACCTCTACAGTTTGTCAAGCTTTGCAGTGCAAGCCTCTGTATTACACTGCAGCTTAACAAGTAGGGCAGGGCTTTTCTCTCACTTACATTTATTTCTCAATTTCCAAACAATATAGTTGGTTTGCTAGTCACATTTGCTACGTCTTATTGCATTTTTGGTCAGACGCTGTCATTGATGCTCTAATGGGTCTGTGCCCTATGGTCTGTAACCCAAAGCCTGCCCACACAACCCGGTCAGAATGCAGGGACTGCTGCGCTTTGAAGATCAAGACTCTGCACGTGGGGATCAGAACATTGCCATGTTCTATCCAACCTCCACCCAAATGGTAATGGTAGATTATTTAAACAAAATTCCAGTAATTAGTATTTCTAAGGTTCACCGGATAACACAGTGTTGCCTCTCTTTTAAGAAATAATTAAATATTTGAGGAACAGTTTATTGTTTTCTTCTTAGGTTTATCGACGGGGGCTTCAGGCAATACCTCTTAGTGTTGATCTTTGGATACATTATATAAACTTCTTAAAAGAAACACTGGACCCTGGTGATCCTGAGACAAACAGTTCAATAAGAGGGTATGTTAAATATTTGATTCTAAATATGTTTGAAGACTTAGATGAGAGTATTCAGATGTTGATAAGAGAAATATTCATGAATGCTAAACTGGAAGTTAATATTTATTTGCTTCATTCCTATTATTTGAAAAAATAGCACATGACATAAACTTAAGCTTTATTGCTTCAAAAATGCAATCTTCCTCTTTTCCACACCCTCTTAGCTTATGTCTCTCTCTAGGTTACAAGTTTACATTTTGCTCACTTGTGGTCAGTGTCTTGTCTTGGTTTTTTGAAATAGGGTTTCTCTGTGTGGTCCTGTCTGTCTGGGAACTTGCTTAGTAGACCATACTGGCCACAGATTTAGAGATCCTCATGCCTCTGCCTCCTGAGTGCTGGCTAGGGCAGTTTGTTAGCTTTCTTCTTCTTTTTTTTTTAATGTCTGCATGTATGTCTATATCACTTTTGTGACTGGTGCCCCAGGAGGCCAGAGAGGGCATTGGATACCCTGGAACTGGAGTTATAGACAGCTGTGGGCTTCGATGTTGGTGCTGGTAATTGAACCTGGGTTCTCTGCAAGAGCAGCAAATGCTTTAACAACTGAGCCATCTCTCTAGTCCCACAGTTAATGTCTTAATTTGATGCCTTCAGATATTATATAATATGTGTACAAATTTGTATGTGAATTTTAAATACTGTTCTTTTTATTTAACAGGATGTTTTATATCTCCCGTTCTATTAACTTGTGAAAATACAGTGTTAAGGTCCTATTTGACCAGACTTTTATTATAGGAATAGTGCTGCAAAAATGTCTCTGAACATATATTTTTATGGAGTGCACTAAAAATACGACATCTGTTTGTAAAGACATTTTGTCAAATGGTACCAATTTTACACTCCCACAAATGTATGAAAGTAGTCACTTTTCCATGGCCTTTTTACTTTTTTCCCCACCTGTGATAACTATTTTTTAATATGGGCATATTAGGGTTGGAGAGATGGCTCAGCCGGTTGGAGCACTTTTAATGCTTTTAAAACAGAATACATGCATATACCCTGTTTTCCCATTTCTTACCTTTTCAGTATAGCTATAGGATAGGCTTCAGTAAATCTGTTTATTACGTCTGTTTTTTTGGTGATTTTGAGTCTGTTAGGTATTTTTCATCATACTCATCTGTAATAGTACTTCTCACTCAGCCATGTTTCTTCTTTGTCTAATAAAAGGTTTTCATACAGCTTTCCAAACAGGCCTGTTGATATCTGTAGATGTTACTTTGATTTCCCCTTACCCTCTGTAGCTGTTCTGCAGTCTGTATTTTATGTTGTCATGCTGTCATCTAGTTTTCCTTACAGTTTTTGGATTTTCTCATCACCATGGCTTTAGGAAATGTCTTCATTTTATTACTAGGTTCCTGTTGCAAGGAGCGGGCCCCTGTTTGTCCTGGCTGCCCGGCTAGCTTACACCGAAATTAGCACACAGAAACAGTCATTAAAACACTGCTTGGCCCATTAGCTCTAGTTTCTTATTGGCTAATTCTTACATCTTAATTTAACCCATTTCTATTAATCTGTTTATTGGCACGTGATTGTGGTTTGCCGGCAAGATTCTAACCAGCATTCATCTCAGGCAGAAGATCCATGGCGTCTCTCACTCTGCCCTTCTTTCTAGCATTTAGTTTTGTCTACTCCGCCTACCTAAGTTCTGCCCTATCAGGCCCAAAGCAGTTTCTTTATTCATTAACCAATGAAAGCAACACATGAACAGAACAACCTCCTACACCAGATTCCAGGCTTTGTTTATTGGAGTTCAATAGATCCCTTTTTGTTGTTATTGTTTGTAGAGAGACAGGGTTTCTCTGTAGCCTTGGCGCCTGTCCTGGAACTAGCTCTCGTAGACCAGGCTGGTCTCGAACTCGCAGAGATCCACCTCACTCTGCTTCCCAGTGCTGGGATTAAAGGCGTGCGCCACCACTGCCTGGTGATCCTTTTCTTTCTTGTTTATGCATATCTTGTAGAAGTATATAACCAGTAGCTTCTTTATAGAGGATACTTGAAATAAAAAAATAATTTAAAGGCCATTCAGGGTTTTTTTTTTTTTTTTTTGAGGAATCCTGTTGATCTAAGTCTTACACTGAGTTATTACTTCAGAAGGGAGCAGCTGATCTGTCTGATGAATGTAAATCTAAATTCTGAAATCTCACAGCTGGCCAGAGTTAAAGATTCCCTACCATAGATTAAACAGACCTTCCTCTAAGCCTTCTCTTTTTATTCTCTGGATTTATTGAGATTGTTCTAGGGTAGTAACATCTATCTTTTTACATACAAACATGCATGTGTATACACACACACATTGGACACTTTCAATTTATCTTTGTATAGTAAACTTTTCTTCCAGTATTAATGTCTTTAAACTTTGTTTTGTGCATGGTAAAGTGGCTTTTCCAGAGGACCCAAGTCTACTTTCTAGCACCCTCATCAGGTATCTCATTTCTGTAAATCCAGGTTCAGGATATCCAATGTCCCATTTTGGATTCTGCATATACTCATACAGATTTACATACACACATAAATAGAAATACTAAAAATATTTAAAAAGAAAAGTAATAAACTTAGTTCAGTTTCTTCTTCTTCTTCTTCTTCTTCTTCTTCTTCTTCTTCTTCTTATTATTATTATTATTACTATTGGTTTTTTGAGGCAGGGTTTCTCTGTAGCTTTGGAGCCTGTCCTGGAACTAGCTCTTGTAGACCAGGCTGATCTCAAACTCACAGAGAGATCCTCCTGCCTCTGCCTCTTGAGTGCTGGGATTAAAGGTGTGCACCACCACCGCCCAGCTGGAACTAGTTCTTGTAGACCAGGTTGGCCTCAAATTCACAGAGATCCTCCTGCCTCTGCTTCCCAAGTGCTGGGATTAAAGGTGTGCACCACCACCGCCTGGCTATAGTTTTTTCTTAATAAAAATATTCAGTCCTAATAGCCATGATCTTTTTGTTTTAACTTGCATTTTTTATAGTATTTTAAAACTTGTTTGCATACATATGTGGGGAGAGGGGTATGCTGCAGGCCAGTAAGCTTGTTGGAGTTAGTTCTCTTCCCACTTTGTGAGTCTGGAGGGTTGACCTCAGGTCCTCGGGCTTGCTGGCAAGTGACTTTACCTATGGAGAAAGGTTGATTTTAAGGTGCTTATTTTGAAAATGTGCCAAAAAGCGGTTTTTGTCCTGTTTTAGTTTTTGTGTGTACTGGGTGTATATGTGCGGGATCCCAGACCTGACTTTTCAGGTGATTTCTTTAGTCACTTGACAGACAACTTATTGACTGAAGTGGGATATTTCAATTGAACCCAGAACTTACTACTTAGGTTATTTAATCTACCTACCTTGCTTTGGGGATTCCTCTGTGTCTCCTTTCTTCCTACTGCTGGAATTATGCCCAGGCTACCATGCCAATCACCTAGAACAAGGGTTCTGGATATTTGAACTCCATTCCTCGCATTTATGTAGTTAGTACTTACCTTGCTGAGTCATCTCCCCAATCGTGAAATGTGTTTATTAAATATTAAATCTAGTGATTAAACAGATCTCTTTAAATTAGCTAAATATCATAAAAAATATTGCTTCCACAATCAACTCTTAGAGTTGAAAGGTGCTTTTCAGGCTTATGAAGTCTTTGTGTACTTCCCATTCGTTTATGTAAGAGTTTGAGTTTCTTGAGTCATTTTTGCTAGAGGTACAGTTTGTCTGTAAATTCTTCAGTTTTATTCTCTGTCCTAAAAGAATCATTACATTTACATTTCAAGTATATAACAAGTATTTCCTCTACCATTTCCTCTTAAATCTTTGGAATGTGTATGTTTACGTTGTACTTACGTATAAGGTAAACTACATTCATCCTTTCCCTTTGTTTTTTTTACTTCTTCTTCTCTTAAGCAACTCTCCTATAATTCCTTCTACTTTTTAATCCTTTCTTGCCCAGGAAGCAACTGAATATAACTTTGATTTCAATATTACTTTCTAAATTTAGTAGTGATATGTAGAAGTGATTTTATTATTTGGGGAAGATAACTGAAGAGCAATTTAATTTTTCAGAACTTTTGAGCATGCTGTTCTAGCTGCAGGAACAGATTTCCGATCTGATAAACTGTGGGAAATGTATATAAACTGGGAAAATGAACAGGGAAATCTGAGAGAAGTTACAGCTGTATACGACCGCATTCTTGGTATCCCAACGCAGTTGTACAGTCATCATTTTCAGAGGTATGGTGAAAGATCTTTTCTTTGAAATATCTTTGATTATTTATGGTGATCAATTCATAATATTGAGCATTATAGTTTATTTTGAAATGATATATCAGACCTTATTAGATGAAACCAATTTTTTAGAGACATTTTCCCCTGTATTTATGAAATGTTTAATAATTTACTAGTGTTATATGGAAAGCTATTGTTGTCTATTTTATATCCAAGGTACTTTAGAGCAGTGAAGAAATGGGAAAACAAGTTTAATAAATGATTATTTGTAATATTAAATTTATATGGTGCTTGACAAATATTAAGTGCTTATTTTTTTGTATTATTTAATTTTTTGAGATGCTGTGTTGCTATGTTTCCCATGCTGGCCTAGAGTCAGCATTCCAAGATCTGAAATTATAGACATACCTTGCTGTGTTGGGTGCTTTTTTTTTTTAACTTACTGATTTACAAAATGTACTTTCCTGATGTTCAAAAACATGTCCAGAACAGTAAAGATTATAGTTTAAGTGTTCACATCTTTCTGTCTCTGTCCAAATGATTAAAAATTATTCTGTTTAAATTTTACACCCTTATTGTTTTGGTTATAAGTCATACAAATAACTATAACTTTTCAAAGTTGTAACTATTAAAAATTCTGTGTACTGTATTTTTGTTTTGTTTTTTTTTTTTTTGTTTTTTTCTTTTTACTTTTGACATGGGGTCTTGCTAGGTATCTCTAGCGGTCCTAGAACTTAACTGTGTGGCAGTGGTATGTCTTGATCTTGCCTTTCTTCCTCCCTGTGCTGCTTAGTCCTGTGGTTGTAGGTGTGTGCCACCATGCCCAGCTCCGTGTGTCTTTTCCTGCTGCAAGGTATTCCACTCATCAAAACCCAGAAAGTGAAAAAGTATGAGATTGTATCTTTGCTGTTTTTTTAAACTCCATAGTATGTGTGTGTGGTGTGCTTTGAGTGGGATTGCTTTTTTATCTCAGCTGGCCTTGAAGTTTTGATTCTCCTGTCTCTCCTTATAATTGCTGAAATCACATCTGTATACTACCACACCCAGTTGTTTTGTGGATTTTTGTTAATTGTTACTAGTAATGCTGTATATTGAAAATTTTACATGATACTCTGAATTTCACAAGTAATGTAGTGAGATATTTGTAAGCTACTATGGATATATCTGCTAAAAATAGAAGTTTCGTGGACTTGTGATGGAAATAGGAACTAGGAAGAAAAATATAAATAGAAACATTGTAGGTCAGTTTCCTGTCTTATTATTGATGAGCTAAAATATAAAATAGGTAGACAGGTTTCTAGGATGTAATGAGCTAGGCACACACTTGCTGAAATAAATTATTGACACAAGACTTGGTATTTGGCAATGCTTATTAAATATTCGTGTTGTGCAAATGAAGGCCAAAGACAAGGCTTTTTCATAGATCAATCTTACTTCTCTAAAATGTGGTGACATTTATATTTATGAGACCTTTATTAAGGAAATGCTAGCTTTCTGTTGTTGGAACAGTTGGTTTTTAAATTTAATATTTTTTGAGAGTTTCATATATTGTATTTTAATCATATTTACTCCCTAGCCCTCCCTGCGAGAGAGAAAGTTTTATTTGTCTGTTTCGTTTTTCTTTCTTAATATATAATCCATACACTCTGGCATAGGAAGTCATGCAGTTGTCTGTGGAGTCCAGAAAACGGCATCAGATCTCTTGGAATTGGGATTAGAGGTGGTTGTGAGCCAAACAGCATAGTTCTGGGGACTGAACTCTGATATTCTGTGACAATGGTATCTGCTGTTAGCTAGTAAGCCCTCTTTCCAGCTCTCTAAATCTTTTTTAAAATGAGTGTCCTGCTAGTTCTATTTATTTTTTGTTTGTTTGTTTTTCGAGATGGTTTCTTTGTGTAAGCCTGGCTATCCTGGAACTCATTCTTTATACCATGCTGGACTTGAATTTACAGATCCACCTGCATCTGCCTCCCAAGTGCTAGGTTTTTAAGCTTGAATATATGTGACCTGGCAAGATGGCTCAATGTATATAGGTTCTTACTACTAAGCCTGATGACCCGAGTTCATTCCTTAGTACCCACATTGTGGAAGGAAAACAGTGACTCTGTGTTGCTCCCTGACCTTCAGATTGATTCACTGCCCCCTCCCAAAATAAATGAATGTAATATTTTTGATTTTGTGTTTATTGTATGAATATTTTACCTACACATATGTATGTATACCATGTGTGTTAGGTACCTGCGGAGGCAAGAAGGTATCAGATCCTTTGGAATTTGAGAAATAGAAAATTGTGAACTGCCGTGTGGGTGCTGGGAAATGAACTTGGGTCCTCTGCAAGACCAGCAAGTGTTCATAACTGCTGAGCAATCTTTCCAGCCCAGTAAATTTTTGTTTTGGTTGATTTTGTTTTGCTTTTTCATGAGATAAGGTCTCACTGTGTAGTCCTGGTTGGCCTGGATCTCAATCTGTAGACTAGACTGACTTTGAACTCACAGAGAATCTACCTGCTTCTGCCTTCCAAGGACTGGGATTAAAGGTATACACTACCACCCTCAGAAAAATTGGTGTTTTTAAATTAATTATTTGCAGATTGGTGGGAAAATATGTATTGTCAGAGTTTAAGAGGCTGAATTCCTGTGTTTTTCTGTCTTTTAAAAATGATTTTTATTTTAAGAGTGTATTTTGCCTGCATGTATGTCTGTGTACCGCATAGGTTCCTGATGCCTATGGAAGTGGAAGTAGAATTAGGATGCTGGGAGTTGAACCTGGGTTTTTTGGAAGAGCAAGCAGCCAGAGTTCCCCAGCCCTCCTGTGTTTATCTTGATCACTCTTTACCTTACTCTTTGAGTCAGGGTCTCACTGATTTCCAGATCATCTGTTGGCTAGGCTAGCGGGCCAGCAAGCCCTGGGGAATCCTACTGTCTTCTCAGTATTGGAGTGCTTCTACCTCCGCAGTGCTGGGATTAAAAGGCATATGTCAGGACCACATTCTACTTATGTAACTTTTTTTTTTTAAACGTTTTTAGTGACTTTGAAGGAAGGGAGTTACATGATTTGAGGTTGAAAGACACCTTCATTTAGGTGAAAAGTTAGGTCAAAAAGTGTTATTTAGAAAATAGGATAATAGAATCTATTATCCAATGGAATGTGATTGATAAGCTAACTGGGAAAGACTGGAAGATAGCATGTGGTGGTGGGGAGAGGGAGATCATTTCGTGAACAGCTTCAGGTGTTTAGTGAGCTCTGGGCAGACTGGGAGGCATCATGAGACATGCCTTTAGCCCCAGTACTGGGAAAGTAGAGACAGGCAAATCATAAGAGTTCCAAGCCAACCAGGGCTATAGAATGAGACCTTGCCTCAAAAAAAAAAGACCAAAACAAAACCAAAAAAACCCTCTCCAAAACAAAAAGCCAATAAATAAATAAATATCGTACAGGAGATTCCATATTAAAATCAAGATGGAAGATACTTTAGTTCTTTGGTGGTTCCAGTTAAAATTTGGGGGTGTATGTCATGGTCTGTTTAGATAAAGTAGTGAAATGACAGTTTATTGAAAATGTTTTAATTGGGTGTGATGGCGTATGAGCCTATAATCCATGATGGAAGTACAAAGACTTTTAGGCCAGCGTCAGCTAGTGAGTCAGTTTATCAAAAGACAAAGTTTAAGTTTTTATACATTAGTTTGAAACTAATTTACATTTGTGTGTAAAAATACATTTTCTTTTTCTATAGACATTAGTTTGAAACTAATTTACATTTGTGTGTAAAAATACATTTTCTTTTTCTATAGACTGTTGGCAATTGGATATAGTAATCTGCAATTTTAAAGTTTTGGACTTGTGTTATAGTTTTTGGTTTATTTTTTTGTTTTTGTATTGTTTTGGTTTTTTCTTTTTCTTTTTTTGGTTTTTCGAGACAGGGTTTCTCTGTGGTTTTGGAGCCTGTCCTGGAACTAGCTCTTGTAGACCAGGCTGGTCTCGAACTCACAGAGATCCGCCTGCCTCTGCCTCCCGAGTGCTGGGATTAAAGGTGTGCGAAAAAGGTCTCGAAAAAAACCAAAGGAAACAAAAAATAGAATTCTTGGGAACATAGCTTTAATGCAGGTATTAATGGGGACCTGAGAGATAACACAGAAATCAGAAAGTGGCTTGGATGAAAACTAAGAAAGTGGTACATCAGAAACCAAGCTGTGACAAAAATTCTAAAATTAAAAGTCATGGTTAGCAGCCTCAGATGTTAAAGATAGAGGGTTACTGGAGAGCAAATACCCACTTAATTTTGCATGTATGGTGACTGGTGGCCTTAGTGAAACCAGTGTCGTTAAGTTGTTAGACAGATACGGAGGAATAATTGGTAGGATGATAATGCAAACATTTCATGATCACTTTACAATTTTAATGTGCATTGACTATGTTTATTTAAATTTACAGAGAAAAATCAAATGATCGCAGAGAACATTAGTATTGAAATTTGTGTATCTGTTCTCTACATTCCACTGCAAAGACAGAGTGGAAGCTAAAGTTGTGTGTGTGTGTGATATCAAGTGGTGGGATTTTAATACAGAATAAGAAATGTTAAGATATTTTGATTTGTTTCTCTGTTTATTTGAGGGAGTATTATGTAGGCAGTACTTGACATGTGGTTTTAAATTCTTCCTGTAGATTTAAAGAACATGTACAGAATAACTTGCCTAGAGATCTTTTAACTGGTGAACAGTTCATTCAGCTCAGAAGGGAATTAGCTTCTGTAAATGGACACAGTGGTGATGATGGACCTCCTGGTGATGACCTTCCATCAGGAATTGAAGACATCACTGATCCAGCAAAGGTAACTTTTAAATCATATGTTCAGTGCATGTGAAACTAGGTAGCATATGTGGAAAGGTGGGAAGTTCTGGGCATTTCGGTCAATATGAGTATGCATTTAAAGGACATAGTCTTACCACGAGACAAATGGAAGTAATTTAGAAAAATATTTTACTTTAATTGTAAACTACTGCGGGGCGGTGGTGGCGCACGCCTTTAATCCCAGCACTCGGGAGGCAGAGGCAGGCGGATCTCTGTGAGTTCGAGGCCAGCCTGATCTACAAATGGAGTTCCAGGACAGGCTCCAAAACCACAGAGAAACCCTGTCTCGAAAAAAACAACAACAACAAAAAAAAACCCAATATAATTGTAAGCTACTATTCCTCTTTTTAAAAATACACAAAAAATTGGCTTTTTGAAGTACTTTTATAAGTCATATTTAAAGCTTGGTGTGGTGGCAGTTGTGAGACAGAGTCAGGTGGATCTCTGTTAGTTCTAGGACAGTCTGGTCTCCAAATGAGTTCTAGGATAGCCAGGATTATATGTACAGAAACCCTGTCTCAAAAACCAAAGCAAACAAAAATTATATTTAAGATAGTAACATCTAACAATTAAAAACTCCCTACTGAAGACTGAAATTTCTAAAGAAGATACTTAAATGTGTGCTGTTGAGATATTCATTATGTAACTTACAAGATTAATTTTGTGTTTTTTCCTAAGCTAATTACTGAAATAGAAAACATGAGACATAGAATCATTGAAATTCATCAAGAAATGTTTAATTACAACGAGCATGAAGTTAGTAAGAGGTGGACATTTGAAGAAGGTGTAAGTGCTTTATTTTATTAGTTTTCAAAAATTTAAGATTTCTTCTTATAGCAGTGAAACAATTTTAAATTTTTGTATAATTAACTCAAGGTGTGCATCTCAATTGTATTTAACATTTTCCATGATCAGTTTTAAAATCTTACTGCATTCAGATTTCAAATGCAAGATTCCTGATGAAAAAGTGAATACTTTTAAAAATCAGCTTTATTGAGTTATACCTTATGGACAACAAAGCAGCTGTTTTAAGAGCATGGGATTAGGCTCAGTTTGTAGACTGCTTACCCAACATGCGTGAATCTCCAGGCTTGATCCTAGCACCACATTCAAACCAGGTTTGGTGCCAAATCTTATAACTCAGCTCTTGGAAGCTAGAGATAAAAGGTTCAGAAATTATTATTATTATTATTTTGTAAATATTTATTTATTTATTTATTATGTATACAATATTCTTTCTGCGTGTATGCCTGAAGGCCAGAAGAGGGCACCAGACCTCATTACAGATGGTTGTGAGCCACCATGTGGTTGCTGGGAATTGAACCCAGGACCTCTGGAAGAGCAGGCAACGCTCCTAACCACTGAGCCATCTCTCCAGCCCTCCAAGGTTCAGAAATTAAAGTCATCTTCAGTGATCTAGTAAGTTTTGTGCCAGCCTGTACTACATCAAACCCCATCTCAAAAATTAAAAATAAAATACTATAGGTGAATAATTTCTTTTTTTAAAAATTTAACCATTTTCTGCCTGCTTTTGTAAGGTATATGTCACATGTCAAACAGTTGGCCCGTTGGAAGTATGCAGGTTATTAGATCGTTGGTGTATACCATCAGCATTGTCAACTTGATTATATTTTTCTCACCTTTCCTCTTTAGTTCTTCTTATCCTACCTAGTAACATGCGGCTTAGCTTGCTTAGCCCTGGGCTTAAGGTTAATGTAGCTTTATTTTTGTAAATTACCTATCATGACCTAGCCTATGAATGGAGTTATATGTCTGTTGTGCTGTGTCTGGCTGTAAAATAGTTTTGATAAATATACCGTATAGTTTACTTTAGTAATCAAAATAATGATCCCTTTACCTTAAATGGTCTTAAATGGGGAGGGGAGAAGGGGAGTGGGAAAAATGTATACCTCAATTAAAAACAATAAATAAAAAAAAGGTCTCTTTGTCCACTCTCATTCTTGTCCTTATATAACTATGTTAAAATGGTTTAATTTAAAAATATGTAATAAAGAATAAAATTCTCTTTACAGAAAATTTTCAATATTATAAAAATGACTAAATGGGACTGCTGTGATGTCTCATCGGTTAAGAGTGCTTGCTGCTCTTGTAGAGGATCAAGTTTGGTTCTTAGCACACATGTTGTGGTGGCTCACAACTCTGAATCCAGTTCAGAGGATCCATACTCTCTGGACTCTGGGCACCTGTAACTGCGTGCAAGTAGTGCAAGTAAACTCATGTAGGAACACACTCATATGTACACATAAGTAAAAATCAATACAGATTGTTTGAAAATGGAAAATGTCTTCTTAAATGGAAAATTTGTTCTTTTCCATTGTCAAACTCACGGAGGTTGAATAATTTTAATTAAAATATTTTATGCCAGGTATAGTGGCATAAGCCTTTAATGCCAGCAGTAGGAGAGAGAGGCAAGCAGATCTCTGGGAGTTTCAGGCTAGCCTGGTCTTCAGAGACCTGTATCATCCCCCACCACCCTGAAAAATTAGTAATGAATTTAAAATTTTTTCCTTGTATTTGAAATTATTTGTATCATTGTATTTAAAATATTTTGTTTTGACTTTTATTACCATACATTAATTTTTTTCTTGGCAGATTAAAAGACCTTATTTTCATGTGAAACCATTGGAAAAAGCCCAACTGAAAAACTGGAAAGAATACTTAGACTTCGAAATTGAAAATGGGACTCATGAAAGAGTTGTGGTTCTCTTTGAAAGATGTGTCATATCTTGTGCCCTCTATGAGGAGTTTTGGATTAAGGTAAGAAAATGATATAGTGTTTAACTTGTATATATTATAAACATTGATCTAATGACTAACCTTTTTTGTACTTCTGTTGAATGTTGTTCATATAACTATATCTGTTGCATTAGGAGATGGTCTGCTTGCAACCAGATTTGACTGCTGCATTTGCCAACCTCGTTGCCTCTCTTCGTCCTTCCTTACAGAAACTAGTCTAGTGGTTCAATAAAGGTGCTGAATGGGTTTACAAATAGAATTTTATCGTTCTGTCACGTATTTAATCATGTGTTCAACTGTAAATTATTCAGTATTTCCTCTTTTCTGTATGTAGTATGCCAAGTACATGGAAAACCATAGCATTGAAGGAGTGAGGCACGTCTTCAGCAGAGCTTGTACTGTTCACCTTCCAAAGAAACCCATGGCACATATGCTTTGGGCAGCTTTTGAGGAGCAGCAGGGTAAGAAGGAGAATGTTCGGTTGACTTATGTATTTATATGTGAATGGGTTTTGCCTGCATGCATGTCTTTGCTTAAATATTTGCAGAGACCAGAAGAGGGTCTTCTAGGAGTGCAGTTAACAGATTGTTTTGAGTACTGAGAAGTAAACCTGGGTCCTCTGCAACAGCAGCCAATGCTCCTAACTGCTGAATCTTATCTCCAGCCTAGCTCTCAATGATATTTTAGCACTTTATCACTATGGAATTAAAGGAATTGAGTACTGAGGAATGTATAAAGAAGAATTGGATTAATTAACTTCTATAAAAACTTTTTTTTAAACAATTCTATCTTGCCATATCCTAAGATCAGCCATAGACAGTACAAAATAAGTAAGCATGGGTACTTGAAACCTCCCTAACCCCCCAAATAGAGAGCTAGATGTAGCCTGTTGACTAACGCTTTTTAGTTTTGGTATCAAGTCTATTTCAGAAATTTAAACAAAAGTGATGTAAAGTCATTTTAGAAATTTAAAAGAAATTATAAATATTTAATTACTGTTTTAGGGAACATTAATGAAGCCAGGACTATCTTGAGGACATTTGAAGAATGTGTTCTAGGATTGGCAATGGTTCGATTGAGAAGAGTAAGTTTAGAACGACGACATGGAAATATGGAAGAAGCTGAACATTTGCTTCAAGATGCTATAAAGACTGCCAAATCAAATAATGAGTCATCATTTTACGCTATTAAACTAGCCCGACATCTTTTCAAAATACAAAAAAATCTTCCAAAATCAAGAAAGGTACTTTTGGAAGCAATCGAAAGAGATAAGGTATGCGTATTTTGAATATCGTTCATAAAAAGCTAGTACGTTTTCACTTTGGCAACCGTGATGAATGATTTGGTCTATACAGTAATATATTTTATTACTAAATGAGGACAACAGTCCCTCTAAACTGATGTTGCCATCTTAACATTTTTCTCTAATTACTTTGAATTTAAAGCTTGAGAAAATTATTACTGAGTTAAAATTATAAATATTTTGGTCTTTGTTATGAACTTTAGAAAATTTAGAAACTTAAGATTGTTAAATATTAGGATAAAGAGCCTGGAGGAAGACTTTAGGAACAAAAGCTTAACTGTATTAAACAAAGCACTATAGTGTGACTTTCCTTTTCAGAACAGTTACTTTTATGAAGTGGTGGTAGCACAAGCTTTTAATCCCAGCACTCAGGAGGCAGAGGCAGGTGGAACTCTGAATTCAAAGCCAGCTTGGTCTACAAAGTGAGTTACAGGAAAGCCAGAGCTGTTAGACAGAGAAACCATGTCTCAAAAAAACAGAACAAAACAAAACAAAAGACCAGCAACAAGAAAGAATCATCCTTTTATGTAACAGTTACTAAAAGCTAGTGTAGAAGAAGTGTTTCATTTTTAGCTTTACTGTGCCTGTTGAAGATACAAGTTTATAATTAAATATTTCTCGTCATAAGTAGAGATGTATTGTACTTTTTGTATTTTAATTTACAGTTTTCATGCTAGGCCAAGTCCAGTTAACTAACATAGGATTAAGAACTTTAATTGGTTAGCATGTAGCAACACAGTGCAATTTCAGAAATAATAGAGTGGTGTTACAACCCACTAGTATTGTTAAGGAGCATTGTGATTTACCCAGTGATAGTGTACTTACTAGTCTACTGTTCCCAGTGCCACAGGACAGGAAAAAATACTTCCTGAAGAATGTTTCACTTCATTATATATATGTTGAAATCTTTGACATGAGTTATATTTCAATCTTAAATATTTATACTTTATTAAAATTTTATAGGAATGTTATTAATTGATACTGCTTTTTACTTAGGAGAACACAAAGTTATACCTCAATTTACTTGAAATGGAATACAGTTGTGACCTCAAACAAAATGAAGAAAATATCCTCAATTGCTTTGACAAGGCCATACATGGTTCATTGCCTATTAAAATGAGGATTACATTTTCCCAAAGAAAAGTGGAATTCCTTGAAGATTTTGGTTCAGATGTTAATAAGTAAGATGTTAAATTCATCTTATTTTTGACTGGAACATTGCATTGTTATTTTGTCATGGGACTTTAATGGTTACATTAACACACTGCTAAATTTATTTTAAAATATATTTTATTATGTTTATGATGGATATGTAATGGGAAAGGGTACATGTGTTCCAAGATGAGGAGGTCAGAAGACAACTTCATGGGATTTTCTCCTACCTTTTCATGGGCGCCAGAGAGTAGACTCTGGTCATCAGTCTTTCCTGGATGTGCATTATGTGCTGAACAACTTGTTCAAGGGTCTAATGTTAAATTTAAGTGTTGGTTAAGGCTGCTTTTCCTTCAGAGACAAGTGGAGGTAAATTCAGTTTTGTGTGTGTATAATTAATTGGACTTATTAAAAGCTTTATCATCCTTTCAAAACTTTTCCTGTTTTAAGTTAATTTTATATGTATGTGCATATTCTGTGGTGCAGTTTTCTCTTTCCACCATGTGGGCCACACAAAAGGAGAAAGGAAGTAAAAACTGAACTATGAGGCATATAAAGGTAGGAAGGTGGGATGGCTGTAGCTGATGTTAAAGCTCAGCGGTGGAGTATGTGTCCTTCGTGTACAAGGCCCAGAGTTCAGTTCTCAGCAACATGTACAGAGCTAGGATAGGATTAGTCTGGAAAAGAAATACCATTTTATCTCAGCTTGGAAAAGAAGGGAGATGTGGTCACACAGATCTTGCTTACTGGAATCGTCCTCCTGAATCATAGGACTCAAAATTGAGGATAATGTAAGGGTTTGCTGTAGATTGGGGGTCAACATCTAAATTTAAGATTTAAATCTGATAATCCAGAAAGTAGAAATACTGCCTAGAACATTATTTGGTAAAGTTCCTGTCTTTGTCTCTTGCTAGTAAGTATGTATCCCAGTACCTAATAGGCATGTTTGTGCCTTTGCTGATATAATTTACAGTGATTTCCACTGAAACCATTCTAAACTTGAGTGTCTATATATGTGTGCATGTTTTTGATAAGTTTTCACCCTGACATATCAACTAGTATTTCAGTTCTTGAAATCGTGCTAAGTATTTTATATTTATATAGTATAAAATTCATAGCTTTTAAATGAGTACAGGTATTGTTATTTTAGTGGATGGAGAGAGGCTTACTCAGATACCTAAATTTTTCAAGTCATGTATTATGAGTATGAAATTAGAGCCTAGTTCATATTTTGCTTTTAACTCCCTTATATACTATATAGTCAGTGTTTTATATGGAAGTAGGTACACCGAAAAACTGACTTTATGTAATGCTGTCTTTTCATTGGGATAGTTTGCTTCTTGGGTTCTACAAAAGTATATGAAATGGCATATACTTCCTCTGTATGGATTAAAATAGATTAGTCATGCTTCCTAGAAGAGTTTGTCTCATTTAGCTCCTGCTGTATTCTGATGAAGAAGAGAAACATAGTGATCGAAACAGAATACATGGTAACAGTAATGTGCATGAGTAGAAGAGTACGTGATGTAATTTAAGTTTTGAATCCAAGGCCTTGTACATGGTAGTTACGTACATTATCCACTGACCCAGTGGTTCTCAACCCCTTTCATGGGGTCACAAGTCAAAATCCTGCATACCAGATATTTACATTATGAGTCATAACAGTAGCAAAATTAGTTATGAAGTAGTAATGAAAGTAATTTGATGGGTGGAGGATCACCACAACATGAACTGTATTAAAGGGTCTAAGCACTGGGAAAGTTGAGAACCACTGCACTGACCTATTGAACCTACTTCTCCAGAACAAAATAGAGTTGTTTTGTTGTTGTGTGTGTGTGTGTGTGTGTGTGTGTGTGTGTGTAATTGTAGCCCTAGCTGGCCTTGAATTAAGAGATCTGTCTGCCTTGTGAGTATTAGGCCTAACAGCATGCGTACCACACCTAGCCAGAAGTAGGATCTTGATTGCATTGAACCTTGCAGTTCAGAGCCTGCACTATCAGCAGTAAACAACAAATCCTTAGAATTGGCACCTACAAAATTAAATAAACTTATCATTTTGATTTGGTAGTTCTATTCAAACGAATTACTGGTTCAATAAAAGGTACTATGTAAGTTCTTAAACATGTAGTTTCTTAAACATGGAGCATCTGGATATCAGAACTAAGATTTAAGCCTTAAAAGATAAGGCAAAGAGCCCAGTTAGAAATTTATATAAGCTGTTTTCATATTTGGAAGTAACTAATCTTTTTGTTAAAAAAAAAAATTATGCATCCCAAAAGATTTTGTTTTCCTTTCCCTTCAGGCTTCTGAATGCATATGATGAACATCAAACACTCCTAAAAGAGCAGGACACCTTAAAAAGGAAAGCTGAAAATGGGTATGTAACTTTAAAAAAAAAAATTATTTATTTATTATGTATACAACATTCTGCCTCCATGTATGCCTGCACGCCAGAGGGGGGCGCCAGATCTCATTACAGATGGTTGTGAGCCACCATGTGGTTGCTGGGAATCGAATTCAGGACCTCTGGAAGAGCAGCCAGTGCTCTTAATCACTGAGCCATCTCTCCAATCCCCGGTATGTAACTTCTTGATCAGGAAGAGATGCTTAAGAGAAAACATTTCAGTATGAAGATTCCCTTTAAAACATGTACTTTTGGGGGTTGGAGAAATGGCTCAGAGGTTAAGAGCATTGCCTACTCTTCCAAAGGTCCTGAGTTCAATTCCCAGCAACCACATGGTGGCTCACAACCATCCGTAATGGGGTCTGGTGCCCTCTTCTGGCCTGCAGGCATACACACAGACAGAATATTGTATACATAAATAAATAAATAAACATGTACTGTTGAGTGTTACTTCTATATTATGATAATGTATTTTTTATGGCTTGAGAAAAACATAAACGGTTGAACTTAGAAGCAAGTATAAAGGCTGCCATTAGCCTACCACTCCAAGACCCAAAATGAGGCTTCCATTGAAGCTGGAGATGGGACTGAGTGTTGGAAAGCCATGAAGATGACTGGAGTTGTGCCACTGGCCCTAAGTTGAGAGTTGTAGTTAAGGAAATCCTCATAGATAGGATAGTTCAAGGCGATCTGATGGCAGTCAGTGGGCTTGTGTTGCTATGAGGAATTGGAGGTAAGTTTGTGCTGCCATGTTTGTTCATCTACAGCATAACTGCTTAGCTTTAACAAGTTATGCTGAAACATGAATATTCTGTCCGTAGTTTTTACTTAGTTAGGATTAAAGGCATGCACCACCATGCCCGATTTACAAGTCTTTTAAACATCAAGGACAAATGAAACAGGTCACATCCAGAACCTAGACCAGTTTACGACATCTGGCATAAAGAAAGCACTGAGCATGTAATTTCTCACCAAGAGGTCACACTATATAAACGGAAAGTTGTAGATCTAAGAAGGCTAAAAAGTAAAAGGCCAGATTGGAAAGGGGTTTTGTCTTGTTGAAAAATCTGAAATCTATTACTTGGAGTGGCAGACTGCTACTTTTGGTCCTTTGTAGAAAGGGATCAGTACTATCTGTGCTCTTGGCAGCTAATCTAGAGGGTAACTCATAAATGTATTAGAGGTCACATTCCCTGGCAAAACAGTAGGTAAGTTTCAGTAAACCAGATTTAGCCTTCAATGTATTTACAATTTGTCTTTTCCCCCTACTTACTATCTTCTGAATAATACCTTGCTCCCAAAAGATGGTTGAAAGCATTAATTAAAACACAGTGTAGTCATCTAAGAAAGTTCCTATCTCTGGGAATTTTGAGTTTCTATTTTGACCTTTTACACAGTTCTGAAGAACCAGAAGAAAAGAAAGCACACACGGAAGATATGTCATCTGCACAGATCATTGATGGGGATTTACAGGCAAATCAAGCTGCATATAATTACAGTGCCTGGTATCAGGTAAGTGTGCATAATTTATTCTTTGTAGTGGTTCTGTATTGTGTATTTCCTTTTCTGAGTTGGTGGAATTTCATCAGTTTATATGCGGGATATAACTTTAATTCTAGTGTGCTGACATATTACTTTTACCTTTTCAGTACAATTATCAGAATCCTTGGAATTATGGACAGTATTATCCTCCACCTCCAACATGATGGAAAAAACATAAATTTCAGATTGGGTTATATGAAAAATGCGGAATTATTTTTTTTGAAGGATGTAAACATAGCATAAGCTTGTTGTATTTGATAATTTGTCTTCCCAGTTTCTGTGTAACATTTGTTTAGTTAATAGTAGAAAATGTCAATTAGTAGTGTACCATAAAAACTTTCCTACCACTTTTAAAATTTACTTTTTATTGGAGAACTATTTTTTTTATTTTTATTTTATCTTATTTTCATTAAGTGGTCTAGAATTCTTTTGCAGCTCATGCAAGAGATTTGTAGCCTTAAGTGTAGAGAAAAAGACTGACTACAAATCATGTCAGTTACAAAATTCTGGGAAAAAAAAAATAAGGGCTGGTTATTGAGAATTTTATCCCCTTAAAAGAGACTTAAAAGATTTAAAAGAGTTAAGGTTGTCTATGTTTCAGTTACACTTGGAAATTTGGCTCTAACTGTAAGAAAGATGCACTATTAACATGCTCTGCCTTGGAATAGATTATAAATGAGAGTGTAACGTCAGCATCCCCTTAAGGAATGAAGTATCAAAGTATGTTTTGGGAGACTTTGTATCTAGAATATTCATGTAAAACTTGGGAGCAAGCTTTCATTTTGATCATACTTATCGTCCTTTTTGTAATAAAAGTGAAGACTCATGCAGCAATGTTTATGAATTCATTTGGGGGAGGTATACCTAATACAGATTAACATTGTTATAAAGTGGGCTTTCTCTAAATTTACTATCTTCCTACCAGGATATTTTAGTTACTTTTAATTTTCTGCCTCAAGATCTATGCCTTTGACCTTCTACCATAGAGTAATATTTTTAAAATGTCCTGGACAAAGCTAGCCACTTTTATTAGCAGTTATACTCTATTTGGATGAACTTCTGAGTCCTGTTAGTCTGAACATTAATACAGCAACACAGAATAAGTCAGTCAAATCAAGACAATCCATGACATTTTTATTGAGCCTTTTAGCTTATAATGAGGTAAAAGGAAACTCAGTTCTTTTTAGTACTTTACACAACTATAGTAAAATATCTGAGACTTAAAGGGTCTTCCAGGGGATAACATTTCTCATAAATTGAGATCAAGTAAACAAGCTTTAACTCCTTGGATTTTCCAGTTGACTCTTCCCTTAGAATAGTAACAATTAGTCACATTAAGTTTCAAGGCCAAGTTTTTATTACTGATGTCTTCGGAAAACTGGTTTCAGTCAATATCTACCAATTCCACTTCAAAAATGAGTTTGGCATTTGGTGGAATTCTGTGGGAAATGGTCAAGGTAAATCTGATGGCAAGTGCCTTTCCCCCACCACTAAACCATAGCATTATACTAGAATTGTGAAATCTGACTTCATATAGTAATTTAAGCTCAAATCCCAACATTTGTGTGCTGGAGACAGAATTAGTTCCAAAGTGACCCAGAGATTGTCCCAATAAATTTAAGAGGAAGAAATCTGTATTTGACTCAGAGGCTAGCTTGAGTTTCCTAAAAGTAACGTATCCTTACTGATTAATAGAAACCATAAAGGTCAGTTTTTAACAAACATTCTTCTTATCCGAATGCCCCACGAATGCTACAGAATCAGCCAGTATCTTATGAAAACTGCTACATGAGAACATGGCACCTATTGTGAATTAAAAGCCAAGTTCAGGTTTGCTTGGTTTTCATAACTTTAATGCCAGCACTGGGAGGCAGAGGCACTCCAGGATAGCCAGGGCTACACAGAGAAACCATCTCCATAAAAAGAAAAAGCAAAATAGAAAAGGTAACAGGGTTTCTTCATAAACATCAGATTAGGCTTGATGCTTTCACATTAGATGAAGCTGAAATAACTACAGAGGACTTCCAACCTTAACCTCACTCCTTATTCCCTATAAATCCCAGTATCAAAACCAATTTTGCAACAAGAATGGAATCAACAGCTAAAATTCACTTCCCACTTAAATGCTGGATTAAAGTCTGAATGGTCTAGAATATTGCCTTTCTGCTTTTTGTACATGTTGACAAACCAGTTTGTCATAGAGGCACTGTAATCAATAAATGCTTACAACATTATTTATCTTGTGGTCTTCTTCATTTTACTCGTGGTAACCATACCTGAATTCTCGCTCTTCAGTTAAATGATACAGCAGCAAAAAATTGCCCTGTAAATGTGCTCCCCCCCCCCCACACACACACTCTGGAGGATCAGAAAATTAAGGCCAGTCACAGAAGACCCTTTCTCCAAAAAGGGAGACAGTTGTGTCTAAAAGATGAAAGCTTAATTAACTGTTAAGACTTCCTGGTACACACCTTTAATCCCCAGGACCTTTGGAGGCAGACCCAGGATTCAGTTCTTATCTACACAATTCCAACCTGGCAGGGAAACATGGTAAGACTTTCATCTCAAAAAAAAAAAAAAAAAAAAAAAAAAAACAGATCAAGGAAGATGAGTACAAAGTTTAACTACTTTGCATCAGCCAGGCAGTGTCACATTACTGTAGCCTCAGTAGCTATCTTATGATCATCTATCAGGAACACTTTCTCAAAATGATTCTTGATTGACAGCTTGCTTACACAGCATCTTTCACATCTTCAGGTAGCTTTAAAAAAAAGTTACTGTGCATGTATGTGTTTCTGTAAGCACATGCCACACTGTGCAAATGGAGGCCCAAGAACAACTTGTGGGCATTCTCTCCTCCAGTATGTTGGGTTCCAAGAGTCTAATTTAGGTTGAAAGGCTTGGTGGTTATCACACTGACCCAGATCTTAAATATATGGGAGTTTTGTTTTGATGTGTGTATGTTTAAATTATAAACAAAAAAGGATACTTGGCATCAGGCTGTCCTTTCTTTCCATAGGCCCATTCTGGTTCAATCTCCAGTCGAGCCTTTTCTCCTTTACTCATAGTCAGGAGCGCTTCATCCCACTAAAAGCAAAAACAAAACACATGGACTTACAGAGCAGCAAATATAAATATATTTTTTATTGGGGCTGGAGAGGTGGCTTAGAAGTTAAGGGACCTTAATGATTTTGCAAAGTTCAGTTCCAACACCCACATCAGGCTGTTCCTATCTGCCTGTAACACCAGCTCTTGAGAAACCCCTTGTTCTGGCCTCCATGGGTACTCATATGCACATAACATACAGAAGACAATAATTTGTTGTTTGTTTGATCCTGGTCTTTCTATGTGGCTGTGGATCATACATAACTTTGTATGCCAAACTGGTCTTGAACTCACTTGCCTCTGCCTCTCAAATGCTGGATTAAAAAATACATTAAAATATATGCTACCATGGCTAACTATAAAAATAATTTTTAAAAAAATTCTACTATTGCAGGGCAGTGGTGGCACACACCTTTCATCCCAGCACTTAGGAGGCAAAGGCAGGCAGATCTCTGAGTTCAAGGCCAGCCTGGTCTACAAAGCGAGTTCCAGGACACCCTAGACTTAAACAGAGAAACCCTATCTCAAAAAAACAAAACAAAAAAATTCTATTATTGCCCTAAGGTAATGTGTTTGGATGAATTCCTAAATCTGTCTTCAATTTCCTCAATATGAAGTCTCAAGTTAAAAGCAAAGCTCCAGCCTTTTTTTGTTTTTGGTTTTTTTCTCCTTTTAGGTTGGAGATCAAACTACACCTTCTACTAAAACTTCTGACTTGCTATTTTATCTTGTTTTGAGTTCTACATAGGAGTCTTTAAGCCTCATCTTAGACTTACAGAAAGCAGTACATCATATTTTTGTAGCTACACTAAGTAAACATTTTGGATGTCACCATTTGAGTCTCTGAAAAACTACAGTTTAAACAGATAGTCCCTAACATGAAAACACATTTTGAGAAAATTATCAACCCGACTTCTAATCTCTTCTTAAGCCTAACTTCTTAAAGTTTACTTTGTTACTTCTCATATGCTTAGGCAAATAAAAGCATGTTGATATCTCAGAGATATTTTAGAAGAAATAAATTCCTGTTTCTATAAGAGCTTCAGTATATATGACAAAAAAAAGCTACGTACTATTTTTTTAAAAAAAATTTTAAACGTGAAAGGCTGTTTTCTGACACTTAACTTTCAAACTAAGAACTCATACACAGAAACTACTGTATGAGTTCCCATTATATTAAATTATACTCCCTGAAGCTTAGAGCTCTGGTCTTTGTCGGTATTTTCTGTTTATTTTTTGAGACATGGTCTCTAGGTAAGCCTGGCTATGCTGGAACTTGATGTGGGTGGAGGAGCCTCCAACTCAGATCTAGCTGCATCTGCATGGAGTGCTGGGATGAAAGGTATGAACAAGCATGCCTAGCCCAGGATTCTTACCTTACAGATGGGAAAATTGACACCTAGAAAACTTGTACTGGGTCAGCCTATAAGGATACTACAGTCTGTCTAACTTCAAAGATTATTTTCATTACATCTCCCAATTCTTAGACTTTTATAAAATGTTTTTCATGTTTTGGTGGTTTGAATGATAATGCCCTCATAGGTTCATATATTTGTGTGCTTAGTCTCCAGTTGATAAACTGCTTTGAAGGATTAAGAAGTAAGGCTTTACCATGTGTGGTGGTGCTCACCTTTAATCCCAGCATTTGGGAGGCAGAGGCAGGAGGATCTCTGAGTTTGAGGCTAACCTGGTCTACAGAGTGAGTTCCAGGACAGCCAGGGCTGATAGAGGGAGAAACACCATCTCAAAAAATAAAAGTGTGGCCTTAGAGGAGGTGTGTTGCTGGGGGTGGGCTTTGAGGCTTCAAATGTCCATGCCAGGCCAGTGTCTCTCTGCCCGGTGTCTGCAGATCAGGATGCAAAGTTCTCAACTACTTTCCCAGCACCATGCCTTCATGCTCCCTACCATGACATTAATGGACTAAGCCTCTGAAACTGTATGCAAGCCTCCAATGTCACTTCACAGGAAAAGAATAAGATGTCCAAAATATAACCTAGCTAGGATCTTGCATATGCTAGTCAAGTGTTCTATCACAAAGTACTCCCCATCCCACAATCCAAACTTTTTAAGAGCTTTTCACCACAAACAATAGCTGTTAGAATACCTAGGGATTCATTTGCCATCTTTATTTACTTACTCCTCTGATAACCTTGCCTATTCCAACCTTGAAGCTTAAAGGCTTGGCATTTTTCTTCTTCTTTGAACCTGCAAAACAAAATTTACCTTTTAATCACATACTGTAGTTTTGGTTTTTGTTTTTTCAAGACAGGGTTTCTCTTTAGCTTTGGAGACCGTCTGGAACTTGCTCTGTAGACTAGGCTGCCCTCAAACTCACAGAGATCCACCTGTCTCTGCCTCCAATACTGTAATTTTAATTACCTTCTTCTAAACTATAGTATTACATATTTAAGAACTTCCCAACAAAGTTACAAAAGTAATCTTTAAATGTGTTTGAAGTATATGATTTACGTCACATATATACATAGATAGCTACCTACAGCTGCATATAGCCTCAATATGAACACACCCTGGAAGAGGATCAAGATCTCTAAATAACATGCTACATTGCCTTTTTTCTTCCTTTGAGGTAGAAGCTCACCGTGTAGTTGTCCTAGAACTCACTACTTAGACCTTAAACTTGCAGTGAATTTCCTGCCTTTTGTCTCCAGAGCGCTGGGATTATTTTTATTTTCTCTTTTACATTAAAAACCTACAGCATTCTGGG